TGATTTCTCGCTTTGTGTCTCTCTGTCTCTCTCTGTCTTTCTGGTGAGTGCATGTGCCCTATAGCAAAAAACCTCTCCCAAAAAGAAAAGTAAATAAGTAAAATAAAATAATTTAAAAAAAATTTAATTTGTAGATTTGGGGTTGGTACCCAGAAATTTGTATATTTGATAACGGGCCCAGGTAATATGTAGTTAGGCCATGGACTACACTTTAAGACATAATGACTTTTGGGGACCAGCAAATGGCATAATGGTTATATTGCTGAACTCTCATGTAATCCACTGCAGTTCAAGTCCTGACCTGGCAGCCTAAAACTCACACCAGGCACATATGTGTGTGTGCCCAAAATCGTGACAGGAGAATGGAGGACAAAGGATCCCTTCTGGGGGTGATTTTTCACTTTCTGTCTCTGTCTCTCCAGGAAGCGCATGTTCCCTATTGCAAAAGAAATCTCTCTCTCTCTCAAACAAACAAACAAAAATCAGAAGTAACGATTTCTGTACACACCATCATCCTAGGGACTGTTGAGGTAGAATAACTCGCTGCTCCTCCAACTAGTTATGTAACCTGTAGGGCTAGGACACGGGAATATGAGGATCATTAAAAAGTCCATAGGGTGGTGTGGTGTGGTGGTTAAGGTGCTGGACTGCCAAACGGCAGACTGGTTCAAATCCCAGACCTGGCAGCTTGAAAATCACGCCTGGCGCATATATATATACGGGCCCCGAATCCCAAGATTTGGGAATAGAGAAGGGATTGTGACATGGCCATCCCCCCAGAGGGTGGGATTTCTCACTTTCCCTCTCACTGTTTCACTCCTATAGCAAAAACAAAGTAACAAACAGAAAAACATCATGGAAAATGCATATTTTGAAAAAAAGAAAACATGCATGGAGTTTAAAAATTTTTTTGCAACACAATTAATACTTCAATCCCATTTTCAAGGAACCTTTTGCGCTTTATTTCATAAAATCAGAGTCTGTCCTTGGAGGAGTTCAGTGGCTTGCTGGGTCAACAAGACACAGCTAACTCTGCAAAAATGAAAGCAATTTCACAAGCACATTAAGGCCATTCACAGATGACACATGTGGCTCTTCCACCCACAGGCCGAGAACACCATGGCTCTCAATAAACCTTGGTGGACTGACAGTGTAGACTGGAAATTATAGATAGGTCAAGGCCAAATGAGTTTATGGATGACAGCTTTACAACAGATAAGGGAGAGGGTCATAAACGTCCAAGGTGGATCTCTAACTCTGGGGAAGCCATGGACAGGTTAGTAAATTACTGAACAAAACAACATCAACTCACTTTTGTTGGATACAGACCACTAAGCTCCTAGCTTTTGGGTCCAATCTGGTGTATTATATTCATCTTTTTCTTATTTTCCTTATTTTTGTAATCGCCAGAGGGCATGTCACTCGCCAGAGACAGAAACAAATGACAAGAGTGAGGCAGAGAACACCACCTAATGGACTGTGGTGACAATGCCATTTCTTTAAAAAAAAATTATTATTATTAATTTGCCATCAGTCACATATGTGTGAGAGAGCGAGAACAAGAGAGCACACATGTGCAAGCTTCCAGTTCTGGGACTCGAACAGTGGTCAGCCATGTGGGAGTCCAGTCACCACACCATCTGCTGTCCTGCCTCCCTTTTTTTGAGAGATTTTTGCTATAGGGCATGTGCACTAGTCAGAGAGACAGAGACAAAAAGTGAGAAATTGCCCCCCGCCCCAGGGAGGACGGCCATACCACAATCTCTTCTCCATTATCCTCTTGGGATTTTGGGCACGCATGCACATGTGGATGGTGAGAGTTTTAAGCTGCTGGGTCTGGGACTTAAACCGTGGTCCACCATGTGGGAGTCCAGCGATGTACCATTACACCATCTGGCCCCACAGTGCAATTTCTTATCCTCCACTTCTCCCTCCTGCAGGATTTTGTGCATGTACTCACATATGCCCAGAGTGTTTTTCAAACTCCCATGGCTAATTTCAAACTGTATGTTCAGCCACATGGGTCCTGGCTTCCTCAACCACCAGGCCGTAGGCCCAGTGTGTTATATTCTTATGTGGAGTGTGTGTGTGTGTGTGTGTTTCTACGTGTGTATGGTGAGATGGGGCAGATCTCGGCAGGCTTCATGAATGTGGTGCCCTAGAATCAATGTTGACTTTGGAGAAGAAGCTAGCCTGGAAAGTTGCCTCACACCAGCTGAAGTAACCAGTGCTTTCCTTTTCTTCTCTAGGAGATCACAAGCCCTAAAGTGGACGTGTTCACTGCTAACAGCAGCCTCAGTTCTGGGCCTCTGCCTGTCTTCCCCCTGGAGCAGCTGGTGAACAAGCCTGTGGAGGAGCTCCCCGAGGGTGTGGACCCCAGCAGGAAGGAGGTGGGTCAGACTCTTGAAAGAAGAGGAAGAAGAAATGGCTTGTCCGTGTATTGGACAACCCTAATTGAGCCCCAGACCTGGCCCCGTGGGTGATTAGGTGCTGGGGATGCCTTGGTTAGCAAGATGGTCCCAGTCCGGCCTTGCTGTCAGTTTACACCCTAGGAGGAGAGGGAGAGAGAAAACTGATTACACTCTTATTTAATTGCAATGATAAGTGCCATAAAGGTGAAATACAACTGCCATTAAGGGTATTACAAAAAGGAGACTGACTGGGACCAGCAGTTAGCATAATGGCTATGTCGCTGGACTCCCATGTAGTAGACCGCAGTTCGAGTCCTGGACCCAGTGGCTTAAACTCACGCCGGGCGGGTGTGCGTGCGTGCCCAAGATCCCGAGAGGAGAATGGAGGAGAAGGGATTGCGGAGTGACCATCCCCCCTGGGAGGTGATTTCTCACTTTCTGTCTCTCTGTCTCTCTCTGTCTGTCTCTGTCTGGCGAGTGCACGTGCCCTATAGCAAAAATCTCTCCAAAAAAAAAAGAAAAGGAGACTGACTGAGCTGGAGATTCTCTTTTTTCCTTGGCAGAGATTTTTGCTATAGGATGTATACGTTCGCTGAAGAGACAGAGACAGAGACAGTGAGAAATCATACCCTCACCCCCGCCTGGGGGGAATGGCCATGCTGTAATCCCTTCTCCTCCATTCTCCTCTTGGGATTCTGGGCATACACACACATGCACCTGGCACAAGTTTCAAGTGTCCAGGTCCAGGACTGGAACTTTGATCAGCTATGTGGGATTCTAGTGATGTAACATTAGCTGGTTCCAGAGATTCTCTTTTGAAAGGTAAATAGGAATTACGGAGGCAAAGCAAGTTACTCCTGGATTAGGAACCACAGATAAAAGGCCCAGAGGCGGGGAATAAGCACAGTGGGGCAAAACTGCAAGGTGGTCAGAGTGGCTTTGGTGTTGGGGACGGGCAGCTGGACTGGCAGGGGCTGATAGCAGTGCCTTCTATCCCACGTTAAGGATTCTGTTGTCCTGAAAGTGGAGGGAGGCATGAAGGTGAAAGCAGAGGAATGAATGACAGGCAGATCTATACTTTTAAAAGATCACTACAGGGGGACCAGAAGTTGGTGTAATGGCTATGTCGCTGGACTCCCATGTAGTCGACCACGGTTCAAGTCCCAGACCTGGTGGCTTAAACTCATGCTGGGTGCGTGTGTGTGTGTGCCCAAGATCCCGAGAGGAGAATGAAGGAGAAGGGATTGCGGCTTGGCCATCTTCCCTCAGGATGATTTCTTGCTTTCTGTCTCTTTCTGGCAAGCGCATGCACCCTACAGCAAAAAAAAAAACTCTCAAAAAAAAGGAAAAAAAAACTAATTGAATGCCCTCAAATGGTTATGTCCCACATGGCCAACCGTGGCTTGAGTCCCAGACCCAGTGGCTTGAAACTCATGCCGGACACTTGTGCGTGCGTACCCAAAATCCTGAAAGAAAAATGGAGGAGAAGGGATTGCAGCGTGGCCATTGGGGGGGATTCTTGCCTTTTGTCTGTCTCTCTCTCTCCAGTGAGCACATGTGACCTATAGCAAAAAAACTCTCTTAATAAAAAAATCACTATAGAGCAGTCCCCATGGCACAGTGGTAAAATGCTGTGCGTTGGGAGTCAGATCCCATATGGACAACTGTGGTTTGAATCCCAGACTAGGCAGCTTGAAAAACATGCCAGGCACATGTGTGTGCATGCCCCAAATCCTGATGGGATAGAGGAAAAGAGAATGCACTGTGGCCGCATTCCATTGACGTTGCTTTCTTCTCTTAGGCGAGCACATGTGCCCTAAAAAAATACATAGATCAGTTGTCTGTTGCCAGTTTTCTTTATCATGAAGTGGTGTATATGCTCCTGGGAGAGCTGAAAGTTTAGTGCCAAGTGGGGCGGATAGGAGAGGTTTCCAGACCCCTTGCTCCAAACATGGATGGTGAGCCAATGAGAAGAGTGGCTGCAGGCAGTAGCAGGAGGAAAATTCGAGTGTTTGTGCACCCATGAGTAAACCACAGGGAGGCGAATTTGGCCTGGGTGAGGTTGGTAATCAGCTGGTAGCACTTCAGGGTTCAAAAACAAGACCATGGAAAGATATAAGTCCACTGGGATGGGCAGGCCCTGCTATCTAGCCTGAGGGTCAGAGTCCAGCAGTCTTGACAGCTGAGGAGCCAGTCTGGCTGGACCAGAGAGGGCGTGTGGAGCCACCTGCAGAGACTTAAGACACAGCAACTGTAAGGAACCTGGGGGAGGGTACTACAGATTTGGGGTAAAATAGCACTCCCCAACCACTAAGCACAAACCATTCACATTCACTCTTTTCCTCCCTAAGGAGGTGGTCCACTGCCCTGCCTGGGTTCCAGCGTTACCTCCCAAGAGCCCTTTGGAGAGAATGCCCAGGGGAGTGGGATGACAAATCCAATGACAGGTTAGCTAACTGGGGCCTTAGACCCACCTGAGCTTTAAAATCTACCTACAGGTGTTTACCAAGAAGCTGCCCAATTCAGGCCTCTCTGTAGGAGTCAAAAAAATGCTCTCCAGGGAACCAGCAGTTAGTGTAATGGCTATGTTGCTGGACTCCCACGTAGTCGACCTCAGTTCACGTCCTAGACCTGGTGGCTTAAAACTCATGCCGGGCACGTGTGCGTGCGTGTCCAAGATCCCAAGAGGAGAATGGAGGAGAAAGGATTGTGGCGTGACCATCCCCTCTGGAGGGAGATTTCTCGTCTTCTGTCTCTATGTCTGTCTCTGTCTATCTGGCGAGCACATGCGCCCTATAGCAAAAACCTCTCTGAAAAAAAAAAAAAAAGAAAAAATTGCTCTCCAGGGAAACTCCACTTCAGAACACTTGAGATTTGAAAGAAACCCACTGCTTTCACCCCCACCCTGTTCACTTCTTAGTTCCTGAGGGGAGAGGGGACAGACCAGGCTGGTCTATTACAGCAACTTTAACCCCGCCCCTTTTTAAGAAAATTCTTGAGAGCACTGTGAGCATGGGGCATGGGTGGGGAGGGAGCGGGAGAGAGGGAGTAAAGGAGAGAGAAAAGCAACCCCCATCAGGGCTCAGTCACACAGTGATCCGCTACTCTAGTCCTCCAGCCCACCAGGATCTTGGGCACATGCCTGGTATGCTTTGAGGTCAACTGCACTGGAGACCTGAGCCTGCTATCAACATGTGACTTTCTTTCTTTTTAAAAATTTTACTCATTGTCAGTATTATTATTACTATTAAGTTGACCAGAGAGAGACAGAAGGAAAATGAGAAAGCATGCTGCCAGGTCTGGAACTCAAACCATGGTCAGCCATGTGGGAGTCCAGCATGTGGGAGTCCAGCTGCCTTAACCATCACGCTACCTGCTGGCCCAATATGTGGCTGGCTGGCCTTTTCTTTTCTTTTTCTTTCTTCTTTCTTTCTTTTCCTTTCTCTCTTTCCTTCCTCTCTCTCTCTCTTGCTTTTTGAAGAAGATTTTGCCTTAGGATGTGTGCACTCACCAGGGGGGGAGAGAGAGAGAGACAATGAGGGAAAAGTGAGAAATCATTCCCTCCCTATCCCATGGAGGATGGCCATGGGATGGGGAGGGAATGCAATCCTTTCTCCTCTTGGGATCTTGGGTACACATACACATGTCTAGCATGATTTTCAAGCCACCAGGTCCAGGACTCAAACTGTGGTCGGCCATGTGGGAGTTCAGTGACATAACCACTATGCCACCGACGGGTCCCCAACACATGGCTTTCAATTTCACAGGCTAGTATGTTACTGACTGCCATAGAGCCTGGGTCTATTTGGGGGCTCTTAATTGAGTATGCCTTGAGGGTATTTAGCTTACCTTAAATGGTTTCACTATCACATCGTCATAGAGCTGGGAATAAAGATTATTTCCATCAGTTCTCTCATCTTATGGTGGAAAATATCTAAGCCCTAGAAAGGTCATGAGTCCTAGTGATTTTCAAGCTGAGTAAGATAAAATTATGCTTTCTAATCTTCTAAATCATTCATAGAATGAGAGAAGCCAGTGCAAGTCATTTGTTTAAATATGTTGTTTTCTTTTTTATTTTTTTGCTATAGGGTGCATGTGTTCACCATAGAGACAGAAAGTGAGAAATCACCCTCTGGGGGGATGACCACACTGCAATCCCTTTCCCCTCTTTAGGATTTTGGGCATGTACACACATGTGCCTGACACGTTTAAGTTGCTGGGTCCAGGACTAGAACCATGCAGCCAGCCACATGAGATCCAGCTCCTTAGCCACTATGCCCCACGCTGGTCCAAATGTTGTATTTTCTACTCAAAATATTGGGTCATCAGAAAAGTGACACATTTTTTGCATAGTAAAATAACTTGGCAAAATTTGACTCATTTGTTCTTTGGCCTTCGTAGTGTCTTCATTTAAAATCCTTCTTCCATCTCAGTTGTACCTTCTGCTGCTGTCTCCCACTGTCTCTAAGGAAAAACTGCTTCTACATGGGCCAGCTCCATAGCCTAGGGGTGAAGGAAGTTAGGTCCCACCTGGCAAACCATGGTTCAAATCCTCGCTCCAAAAGCTTGTAAAACATGTGAGACGGATGTATGTGCTTTCCCCAAATCCTAGCAGGATGGAGAAATGGAGAAGGGATTGTGGCATGACCACACCATACTATGGCATGATCATGACCATACCATCCAGGGAGGCTTTTTCTCTGACCTCCTGCTCTCTCTTTCTGGAGAGGGTATGCACCCTCTGGCAATTAAATAAATACAGACCTCCTCAAAATAATCTGGCTGGGACAATGAGTCATCAAAAAAATTTACGGAAAATATTTGTTATGAAAAAAACATGAAAACATTTCAAATATTTTGCATAAACTTTTTTTTTTAGAGGATTTTGGCTATAGAGTATGTGTACTCTGTGGAGAGACAGAAAGCAAGAAATCACCTACCCGGGGGGATGGTCATACCACAGTTCCTTCTCCATTGTCTTCTCAGGATCTGGGGCATGTACACACACGTGCCTGGCGTGAGTTTCAAGCTGCTGGGTCTAGGACTTGAGCCTGTGGTCAGCCATGTGGGAGTCCAGTGCCTTAACCACTATGCCACCTAGTGGCCCCTAAATTCATACTTTAATTCTATTTCTCCATAAACTTCAGAGTACCCCTGTACATACATTCACAGTGGAATATAAAAGATAGATGAGGTTTAATGTGTTGTCTTTTTTTGGGGGGGAGAGATTTTTGCTATAGGGCGCATGCGCTTGCCAGACAGAGACATAGAGACAGAAAGCGAGAAATCACCCCCCAGGGGGGATGGTCACGCCGCAATCCCTTCTCCTCCATTCTCCTCTCTGGATCTTTGGCACGCACGCACACGTGCCTGGCGTGAGTTTTAAGCCACCGGGTCCGGGACATGAACCGAGGTCGACTATGTGGGAATCCAACGACATAGCCATTATGCTAACTGCTGGTTCCCTTTTTTTTTTTTTTTTTTAAAGTTTTTTGTCATAGGATGCCTGTGTTTGCTGAAGAGAGAGAGAGGGAAAGTGAACAATCAGTCCCCAGGGGGATGGCCATGCCACAATCCCTTCTCCTGGTATTTTGAGTACACATGAATATGTGTCTGGTGTGATTTTTCTCAAGCTGCCAGGTCCAGGACTCCAACCATGGTTGACCATGTGGGAATCCAGTACCGTAACCACCATGCTCACCCCAACTTGTCTTTTAACAGGAACAAACCTGTAAGCTAAGGACAAAACTACTCTTAATGGTAAAATTCTAGTCAGTTGCAAGCAAAATATCAATAGTATACCCCACAGGTCTTGGAGGAAAGGTCACAAGAAGGCTTTACAGTATGCCTGAAACCACTCAAGGGTCAGTGTGCTCCAGGGGAGCATGCATTGGAATCAGATGACATGACTTTCTACTTTAGCTTCATCACCTGGGAACATTCCAATCTGCCTGTGTCTTTGTAAGTGCTACAGCAGTATTTGTTAGATTGCTGCCTGCTCTGTCCATTAAGGCTGGAGCAGGCCTTGCTTCCCATGTGGCCAGTCTGTTAACTTGACCCAAAGCAAGGTACAGTCCAGGAGCTAGACCCTTCCCAAAGCTGATGGGCTTGTTAGAAGACCTACATCTCATGTGATAGCAATGGAATCTTATATATCCAGACTTGGAGAGACACTTTTAGGGCTCATTTGTTTATTTAGTGGGCTAGGATTAGGTTCACTTTGACAAGTAGGGGTGGCTAATCAATATACCTGGTTTCCAATACCCTTTCATGTGTAATACTATTTTCATTCTTAAAAAAGTGAGCAAGGGGGACCAGCAGTTAGCGTAATGGCTATGTCGCTGGACTCCCACATAGTCGACCGCGGTTCGAGTCCCGGTGGCTTAAACTCATGCCGGGTGCGTGTGCATGCATGCCCAAGATCCCGAGAAGAGAATGGAGGAAAAGGGATTGTGGCGTGGCCATCCCCTCTGGGGGGTGATTTCTCACTTTCTATCTCTCTGTCTGTCTATGTCTGTCTGGCGAGCGCACACGCCCTATAGCAAAAACCTCTCTCAAAAAAAAAAAAAAAAAAACTACACAAAAAAAAAAAAAAAAAAAAAAAAAGGCCAGCAAGGGCCACCAGCAGATAGTGTAATGGTTATATCATTAGACTCCCAATGGCCAATTGCAATTCAAGTCCTGGACCCGGCAGCTTGAAACTCAGGCTGAGTGTGTGTGTGTGTGCATGCATGTCCAAAATGCCTAGGGGATTACAGCATGGCCATACCCCTTGGGGGGTAATTTCTTACTGTCTCTGTGGTGAGCACAGGTGCCCTATTGCAAAAAACCAAAATAACAAAAAACCTCTTTAAAAATGGGGGTGGGGGCAGCAGGTGGCATGGTGATTAAGACACTGGACACTCCCACATGGTCAACCATGGTTCAAGTCCCGGACCTGGTAGCTTGCTTTCTCACTTTCCCTCTCTCCCTCTGGTCAAATTAAATAAATAAATAAGATAAAAAGAATATTCCAATAAATTAGAATTTCATCTAGATGAATGGTTTTCTAGAGTAAGTATGTGCCATGCAGTATTTGGAACATAGGGGCCAGCAGGTGGCATGATGGTGAGGGCACTAGACTCTCACGTAGTTAACTGCAGTTCGAGTCCCAGACCTGGCAGCTAAAAACTCATGCTAGACTTGTGTGCATGTGTTCCCAAAATCCTGAGAGAGGAATGGAGAAAGGACTGTGGTGTAGCTATTCCTCCTGGGGGAGGGGGGGTGATTTCTTGCTATCTCCCTGTCTTTCATAGAGAGAGAACAAAATCACACAACTCCATCTCCTCCATTCTCCTCTTGGGATTTTGAACACACATGCACATGAACCTGACATTTTTCAAGCTGCTGGGTCTGGAATTCAAATCATGTAGTCAGCCATGTGGGATCCAGCCCCTTAACCACCATGCCACCTGCTGGTACTCTTCCACTTTATAGAGTAGAAAACTGAAGCTTAGAAAGAGAAGCAACTCCTTAACCAGCTGAAGTCAAATGTCCTAGTTCTTATTTTAGGGCTAATGTGTACCTGATTGTGTAGAAAGAAAATGGGCTCAATTGGTTATCCTTTTCATTGTTACAAATTCAGGGATCAAGTCTCTGGAACGCCAAAATGCCAGCCCGTCCATCCCATTCCTTTTCTGGCTCTCCCATTACTGCTTGGTTTTGCTCTTCTTTTAATCACTCATATGCCACACTTGTATGACTAACCAAAGAGAAATATGACCATTGCCCTCTGCCCCCTCTCTTCCAGGAGCACCTCTCCATTGAAGATTTCACTAAGGCATTGGGGATGACTCCAGATGCGTTTTCTGCTCTGCCTCGATGGAAGCAACAAAACCTCAAAAAAGAAAAAGGACTATTTTGAAAAGCAATAGTAGCTGTGATTATAAAGTGGAACCCCCACCCTGCTTCCATGTTTCTTTCATTTTATTACTGATATCGGTCCTATGCCAATTGAAGGGAAATTTGACAGTTGTACTCGCAGGCAGCAGTCCGTGGCATGCCACTTGGTTATTTCTGTTCCTTTAGAAAGATGATACCTCCACAAGGAACCTGTAGTCCCAACGTCAACGCTCCAGAACGTGGCTGGATTGCTTCTGTCCTGGGGTGGTGCATCACTTCTAACCATCCTGTTCTAGGGTTTTCTCAAAGAGCAGCCAAACACTCCATGGAACATCATTGTGCTGAGGCTCCGCCCATGGTTTTTCTATCTGGACTCATTTTTACCTAAGGCAGGTGAGCTGAAGCATTTTGTAGTTTTACATCTTTCCCAGAGGAGTGGTTTTTCTTTTTTACATTCTTTATTTCCTCATGCAGGTGGTAGGTTAAAGAGGAATGCTTCTTTGAAGGAGAGCTCAGTGGTCTAGGACACTGTCCCCTTACCTTTACTGTGCCTGTTCTACAACACTCACTAAATATTATAGTACCCAGCAAGAGCAGCATATCCATCGGGTCTAGGTGTGAGGCCTGTAGACAAGTATGAAATGTCAATGCTATTTTCTTCTCCCCCTCCCCTAATTCTTTATAATAAGGCAGAGGAAGAATTTAGCTAAGGCCAATGCTAGTTGTGCACACAGAAGCCTGTCATCCAGAAGCCCCTGCAAGGCCTCACAGGCTCCTCAGATGAGAATGACAGGTACATAGTGGTGACTTAAGTCAACTCCATTTTCTTTAAGATGTAACAGTGCTGCGTGAAAGTCCAGGTCAGAAAGTCCAAACCAGAAGGCAGTTTCAACAGCTTCAAGTGTTCCTGTGAAAAAATGTCTGCAAAAATGTTTCCTTTTCAGAAATAAGAGTCTAAGCAACCATCGGTTAATAAAGGCTTTAATTTCACACACAAAAAAACTCTATGCATAATTTAAAGAGGAAACAAAACAAGGAAAAACCGTGAAGGATATAGAGGAACAGTTCTGCTAAAACACAGATAAAGTGCCGCTCTATACAAAACAACATAAAGAATCAGAATCAAGTCACTCTGAACAGAAAGAAAAAAATCTCTTCACAAATAATGTGGCCAAAGCTGCCAGCAAACCTGGTAGTGGCTCAATTAGGCAACATGTAGGCACCTCACTCCTGCTTTCTTCTCACTAAGCATAAAGAAACACTGCCCACAGGCCAGAGGTGGGGAGGGAAACCTGGGATAAGAGGTATGCACACCCACACAGGTGCACAGGCCCACTCTGCTTTTTAAAGAGACCAGTTCAGTTGACTTCTCTTTGTTCTGGCACTTGACCTGACAAGGCTAGTGATCCGGATCCTCATCTGCTCCGTTCTTACGCTAGTGGACAGACCTATACTTTGAACCTCTGTACTGTAAGAAAAGTCCAATGTTTCTAAAAAAAAACAAATGCTTATATTTATACTGGCACGCTTTTATTAAAAACTTCAAAACCTCAGACGCACAGCACTCATGGGAAAGAAACAATTTACTATTTGTGTATAAATATGATACGAAAGAGACTGCCTATTCTAGTAATCAAAGCATGCCATAAGGGAGTCAGTGATGTAGTGAAACAGCAAAATAATTCTTCCGCAAAACTCTCAAGTCTAACAAACTAGTTTTTCGATAAAATATATATTTTTCAAGTGAGACATCAATAGAGAAAATTAAAATGATGAAGTAATGCATTAGGAAGATGTCAACAGAAATCTATTGTTTTTGTTCACATTTGCAAGATGGTGCTACTCAGTACAAAGCAAGATGGAGAAACTCAGTACAAAGCAAGATGGAGAAGAGAAGAACCTACCCCGTTTTACTGGGACAATTTTATGTGCCTTGCACCTGGTGCTGGGTTGATTTTTCTAAAAATCTCCCTATATGTACAAGGTCCACCTGTACTTGGAGATCTAGCTCTGCTTCCCTCCAATTCAGGGGTGTGGTGGGAGGGGGTCACTGAGATCAAATGTGGTGAAAAAGTTTGGAGAGCAGAAAGCATCCACTAAAGTAATTTCAGAGGACAGAGAAGGGTAATATTATTTAGTATAACCTCTCTTGGGTAGGTTTACAGATGGGTTTACAAACTAACCTTTTTTCTCTATACTTTAGGTGTTTCCCAATAATTTTCATTATACAACTATATCCACAGCTGTACACACATATAGTTACATAATGGTAATTGCAGTATGGAAGAATAAAGAAAGTCATGGATTATTCTGCGGAGGTTTTAATCTTAAAGCTTCTTTTTCAGAAGAATTTCACATGTGATCAAGAAGAAAAATGTATAGTCTAATATTTGCCTTCTGGAGTTAATGAACTTATCTGTAAATATCACTGCACGCCTCCTAAAATGTAAACATGTTTACATTTACATTTGTTGTATTTGTTCCAGCGCCATTTAACTCAGGCCAGGGAATGAACAGACTATAGCATGTAAACAAATAGCTTTTGGAATCAAAACATAAATAGAAGACCAATTTACAGATTTGCTTTTTATTCTGTCCTGCTG